TTCAGTAGATCGATCTGAGAATTAGCTTTGATTTGTGCCAACTTGCTCCTCAATTCCTCTTGTATTTCTTTCTGCTTTATCTCAAATTTGGCTAGCCTATCTTCAGTTTCTTTAGACATTTTTCTTGTGTCGTGCTGAGCGTTCTTGCTTCAAGGAAAAACCAAGATCACTTCGTTTGGAATCCTTATTTTAATGAATGAATGTTTTAATGTATTATGAAAAAAATGCAAAGATGCCAAATGCAAATGTAAAATTGTAAATGTAAATTATTTAAAATACCAGAATAGGACATCCAGTTATATTAAGACTGCCCTTTTCTTTGATATTGAAAATAAATAAACATTATTATTTAATTAAATATGTTTTAATGCATGATGTAAATTTAAAAATGTAAATGTAAATAAAAACGTAAAAATGTACAAATGCAAAATATAAATGCATGTATGAAAAGGTGTTACTCAAGAGTGATCATCTTAGAACAGATTTCATTGAACGCAAAAGTTTCGGTACATCAAACAAAACTTTACATATAGGGATATATTTCATTCCCAACTTCTCCAAAGCCAAATTAGTCTATCAACTTAAGGGACATATTGCTTGTCTGGACTGCAACCTCTTCCATGACATTCTCTTTCATTTTCTGTCACTTCTCGGAGTTGCTCATTTTCCCTTGTAAGAGATCTTTTCTGTCCAAGAAGTTCTTGAACAAGATCTTCATATATGTTGCAGTTCTTTTTCAGCTTGGTGACCCATGTTATCCATTCTTCTGGGGTACTTCCTAGGCCAGCATTTTGAAAGGTTTGACTGATCTTCTGAAAATCTTCATGCATGGTTTTCATTTATGTGCTCAATTTCTCGTTTTGGTCGTTCAAGTCCTTCAAATAACATGCTTGAGCTTCATAAAAATCTCCACTACTATGAATGTCCCGACTTATACTCTTACCATAGACTGCTTTTGGTATCAATCTGGCAGAATCTTTATGGATTACTTTTGGTATTAATATAACCGGTTCTCTGTGTGCAGAACTTCCCTCGATCCTCGTAGTTTCTTCAGGATGTCTTTCCTTGGTCGTATCATATTTTGTTTGATCATAAAATTTTTTTTTCCATTTACGATTTCTTTCCAATATGATGAACAGTCTTTCAAGCCAACACCTTTTGGTTATGCCATGATCATGTAATGCAAACAAAAGAAATCAATATGAACATATTAGAGCAATGTAATATGCATGAAAAAAAAATAGAATAGTTAGTACCAACTAAAAAAATCTATTTATCAATGTATAAAATCTTAACCTCATGTTTTCTAGTTCCATGATTTGTTTGGAAAATTTAACTTAACCGCACGATTTCTAGTTCGCATGCATTTATTCAGGAAAAGGAAATAAAATAAATTAAAAGCTAGAGTTTATTTCTCCTTTGTGTATACCTACTGACAAAATTTCGGCATGGTTTCAGATTGAGAGAGTTTCTAGGGTTTATTATATGCAGGTTTTCAGTTCTAGGAGTAAAGGTACTCGAACTGTCCTTGTTGATGCCCCCTTGGGCTATCAAACCCTCAATCCTAGTCCATTACAGACTTAAACGGACCGAGTTCAATTCGAGGGGATACATTTCTCTATGACTAACACGGAGAATAAATTCTCACGAAGACATAGAGCATGTGAACCCCGAAAGTTACTTGCTAGGTCTGACACGGAGAATAAATTCTCACGAAGACGTCGCTTTCACTCCCACTTAAAAGGGACAAACTCAATTATAGAGCTTTATGTTATGCAATGCAAGTGTTGTGTGTGAGGAGAAATGTTCAAACCTCTAACAGAACAAATAAATAATGAAATAAAATATTTGCAAATAAAATAAAATATTAATAAGAAAATATATAAATAGTATGAAAATAATAAGTATATATAAAAATTTTGAAAAGAAAGAATTAAAAATTAAATATATGAATTTTTAATTTATAATTAATAGAGACAATTTATAATTGATTTTAAAAGATTGACCGGTCCCCAGCGGAGTCGCCAAGCTGTCGTAACCGGTTTTCGTCCGGGCACGAAATATTATACTTGGCGGGAAAATTGATGTGAATAAATGGTTTTGAAAATAAATAATTTGGGAGTCGCCATCGGCCTTTTGGGTTAGGTAGGTCGAATACCTAAAAATTATCTTTTAACAGAGTTTTTAAGAAAACATCAGTTAAAAGATGAACTGATCTGCGTTTATAACCAAAAATTCGTTCTTTTTAATAATAAAAAGGGATTCGTGGTCGGTTACGTTTAGGGAAGGATTAGCACCCCTACAACGCCCAAAATTGGTACTTTTTAATTATAAATTGTCTCTATTATTATAAATTTAAAAAATTCAAAATATATTTAATTTATAATACTATTATTTCAAAATTATAAAAAAATATTTAAAAATATCTGAAAAGGACTTCTAGGTGCCTTAAGACAGCTCTTTTCTTTGATATTTAAATTAAATAATATTTTTTATATATTTTTTTAATTTTAAAATACCAGAATAGGACATCCAGTTGTATTAAGACTGTCATTTTCTTCGATATTGAAAAATAAATATTAAAATAATTAAAAAATATATTATTTATTATATATATATTTATGAATACATAATAATAAAAATATTTAAAAATATAGACAAGTAAAATTAAAACAATAAAAATACAACTAGAACGATATATTTAAAAGCAGTAAAATAAATGAAAACATTTAAAATAAATGACTAAATTATAGTAAAAGTAAAATTAAAAACCTAATTCATAATTAATCAAAATTATAGGGATTATTCATGCTATTTCTTTATTTTATTTATTTAGTGACTAAAATAAAACTATATAAAATTCGGATATTAGATTAAAATAAATTAAAAATATAAACTCAGGATTAAAATATTATTTATTAAAATTAAGGGACTAAATATGTTATTTATCCTAAATATTTATAAATACGGTTAAGGGTTAAAATATAAAAAAATAAAATTTAGAGACCAAATTGAAAGGATTATAAATTTGATTTAGTGACTAAAATGTAAGAATTACAAGTTAGGATGGCTGCGGAAAGGGTTTAACCTTTACCAAATTACACAGATACCCCTCATCAAAACGGCGTCGTTTTGATGAGGGTATTAATACCCAAACGGCCGGCCTCCCTTGGTCTATTGTTTCATTTGTCTGGTTTTGCTTCTCTCTCTACAGAGAGAGAAGCTCTCATTTTCCTTCATCGGAGAAGAGAATCGGTCTCCGTTTCCGGCGACGATCGCCGCCGTCGGCCCCATCTCCGGTGGCCAGAGATTACCAAACTACCCCAAATTAAAGATATCAACTCCTAAAGGCCAAATCCAACCTCCTTTTACCCTAAATCCCCTTAGATCGACATAGATCTAAGGTTTTTTTACCTTTGACTCTCGACTTTCCGATGGTACGAGGAGGCTCTGATGACTGCAGTTTCCTCGGTAAGTTTCTCTCTTCCCTTCTCTTTCGATATTTGACTGTTGGGTTGTTCTGTGTTGGCTTGCTGTGGCCCCTCTTTGTTTTTGTCTCTCCGTTTTTCTCCTATTCTTCCTTCCTCTTTTCTTTTTTCAGGTTTGGTGGTGGCTTTTTATAGCCACCACAGTGCTCGGATCGGACCAGTCCCAAGAGGGAAGCTTTGGTGAGTCACCATAGCTATGGTGGTGACTCACCATAGGGCTTCAACGTGTGTGGCTTCATGGCAACGGCGGGCTTAGACATCTGGAAGTGGAGGTGTCGGCAGTGTGACATGGGGCAGAGTGGAGGTTTCTGGCGAGGCGGCTGGAAGCTAGGGTTTGGGCCGGTTTGTAGTTATTATTATTATATTATTATTATTTATTTATTATTATTTTTTAATAATAATAATAATATATATAATAATATATATAATAATATATATAATAATTATAATTATAATAATAATAATAATAAACAAATAAATAAAATGGGTAAAAAAATTAGTATCTTCAAGTAGTTCTAATAATTTTGCCTCAGGCTCCTGTACTTTTCGAGGGCATTGGCCATTCTCTAAATCCTGTCAATAGCTTGGTAAGCTGCTTGCATCTGGTTTCAAAGTTTTTTTTTTAAATGATAATTTATTATCGAACTCAACCTCCTCTTTTGGTCACCTTAACATTGGCACTACTTTTAGGTGTTAAAGGTTCTCTCAGCTTCTCCATCTGCCTACTCGGCTAATCCCAATTCCAAGCTGTCAACTCCACCATTATTGATGGGTTTTGCGATCTCCTTAGTTTCAGTTGTACATGTATGTTAGTGACGACTGTTCGTTTCTTCTAAACATTCCTATTATGAACCTCTATGCATTCCATCTTATTTTAAGATGGTTTACATGAAATGCTAGAAGCTCATTTTCCCATGACTCCTCGTATTGCAAGCGCTGTGTTCAAATAAGTTATGAATTTATTATTTCCTTTTGCAGGCAAGGAACAATTCACGTATTTTTATTTCTGGCTCACTGAGTATGTTCAGCAACCGATATGTGGTATATTAACTTTTTTAACTGAGCTTCCATGATGAATTTTTGTTTCCTTCCGATTTTGAAATTTATAACATGTCATTTTTCTTAATGAACTCTTAAAATATTTTTCAGATTGTTTAGATCTGGCGTGCAGAAGGCTGGAAGCCCAACCAAGTGAGCGAATCAGTAACTCTCTAAGCTACCCTTTCAATGTAAGATCTGGGAAATCTTAAACAAGTCCGCATCAATTTATGCTCAATAAATTGAAAGAAACAGCTAACATGCTTTTAGGCTCTAAAACCATCATAAGAAAGTCCATGTCAGACATTTTATGTATCTTCTTATTCTTTGAGATTGAAACCAGATTCATTTCCATGTTCATGAACATTTTACGCCTTTGTACTTTTATCTAAGTATGCAGTAGTTTTTTTTATCTGACTTAACAAGAAATGTTCTTTCTAATGGCAGACATAAGAAATCAGGTAATGAGCAATATTGACCGAACTTAGCAAATGGGTTTTCCATGAATGTGGTCATCTTAAGGTAGGCATATTGATCAACATTGTCAGTGTATAAATATAATTCTTATATTACAACTTAATTTTCTGGCATCTTCTTCCTTTTCTCTTTCATGTGCATGTATGGTGCTGATTTAACTCATGTTTTGATCTTTAGGTTGTTAATGTAAAACACCACAAAGTTGGAGAAACATGTTGGGAAATAAACCGAGTACGAGTAATTTCCCTATAACAAGATTAGTGAGAATGCGAAATAAAAGCGGAAAAATAATATCCGAAATTGATAACGGAGTTCAGCCAATTATGTCTACGTCTCCGGACTGCTGCAGATCTTTTACTAGAGAGAAAATTTACAGGTGTTTACAAAACATTTACTACTCACAAGAAAGCTCTCTAGTATTGGGAGAAAGAAATGATTTTGAAGCTAAATGAGTTAGGGTATTTATAGTTTAAGCTTAGAGACTAAACTTGTAATTAACCCTATTTCTATTTTAATAAAAAATTACCAACTCATTGAATTATGCACCATTCGGTGCCAACCTATTGAAATTAAGACCATTCGGTGCCAACCTTGACTTTCAACAATCTCCCACTTGAAGACTGATTTTAATCTGTCTTCACACCTCGATTAATGCAACAACATTTCTAGTCTTGTTATTCTGGCATGCCAACTGAAGCTGAACATAACTTCAGTTTGTTCGTGGTTACCGTCTTTGTCAACATGTCTGCCGGATTTTGAGCTCCACAAGTTTCAAAATCCCATCTTCCAGAAGAGACCGGATAAAATGATATCGCAATTGTATGTGCTTCGTCCTAGAATGAAAAGATAGATTCTTTGCTAGATGGATAGCACTTTGACTATTGCAATACAAGACATTGTTTTCTTGTTTCTTGCCTAACTCTTCCAAGAAACTTTGGAGCCAAACCATCTCCTTGCTGGCTTTCGTAATATCGACATATTTTGCTTCAGTTGTGGAGAGAGCAACTATCTTCTGTAGTTTAGAAACCCAACTCATTGTGGTTCCTCCTAGAGTATAGATATACCCTGTAGTGCTTCTTCTGATGTCAACATTTCCCGCTAAGTCAGCATCTACATAGCCTGTTAGTATCATATCTCCACCTTTGAAACAAAGTACTTTGTTTGTGGTACCCCATAGATATCTGAGGATCTATTTGACTGCTTTCCAATGTACCTTTCCCAGATTATTCATGTACCTGTTAACAACTCCCATTGCATGAGTAATATCTGGTCTAGTACAAACCATGTCATATATCAGACTTCCAATTGCTGAGGCATACGACACCTTCACCATGTGTGCACATTCTTCCTCTGTCTTTGGTGACTGTTCTTTGGAGAGTCTAAAATGAACACCTAAAGGTGTACTTACTGGTTTAGCATCTTGCATGTTGAACTTGGAGAGTACTTTGTTGATGTACTCAGCCTGTGATAACATCAGAGTCCTCGACTTTGTGTCTCTCTTGATCCTCATTCCAAGAATCTGCTTTGCAGCGCCCAAATCTTTCATTGCAAACTGCTTTGACAATTTTTTCTTCAAATTTATAATCTCTTGCATGTCTGAACCTGCAACAAGCATGTCATCAACATATAACAATAAAATAATGAAGTTGTTGTTGAACTTCTTGATATAGCAACAAATATCTGCTTGGCATCTGGTAAAACCACTGCTACTCATGAAGCTATCAAACTTCTTGTACCACTGTCTAGGAGCTTGTTTTAAACCATACAAGCTATTTTTCAACCTGCATACCAGGTTTTTCTTTCCTGCCTCTATGAAGCCTTCTGGCTGCCTCATATAGATTTCTTCCTCTAAATCACCATGAATGAAAGCTGTCTTTACATCTAACTGCTCAAGATGTAGATTCTCTGCAGCTATAATTTTCAACACCAGTCTGATCGTAGATAGTTTTATGACTGGAGAGAAAATTTCATTGTAGTCAATACATTCTTTTTGCAGAAAACCTTTGACAACCAATCTTGCTTTATAGCGTTTGCTCCCATCGTGCTCTTCTTTGATCCTTTAAATCCACTTGTTATGGAGCGCTTTCTTGCCTGGTGGTAATTCAGCTAATTCCCACGTCTGATTTGACATAAGCGAGTCCATCTCATCTTTCATGAAAGACTCTCACTTGACTGAATCCTCCACTTGCATTGCTTCATCATAGCACTCTGGTTCACCATTGTCAGTCAGCAACAAGTAGTGCAAAGAAGGCGAAAAACGTTAGGTTGGTTTAGGAATTCTGGAGGAGCGTGTTAGTTCCGGTGTGCTTGGTTCTTCTTGAACTGCTTCAGGACTGATTTGAACATCATTTCCAGAAATCTCATCGAACTCAACAAATTCCTTTGTTTCAGCTTCGGTATTGGAGCTACTTGATTCTATGGTTGACCTTTCTTTGTACATCACATTCTCATTGAAAATGACATCTCTTCTTCTGATGATCTTCCGATTTTCATAGTCCCAAAATCGGTAACCTAACTCATCACCACCATAACCAATAAAAACACATTTATTGGACTTGGCGTCAAGTTTACTTGTTCAGCAGAATTTATGTGTACATAAGAAATGCAACCAAACACTCTTAAGTGTGAAAGGTTTATTTCTTTCTTGCTCCAAACTTCCTCTGGTATTCTGCCATCCAAAGGAACTGAGGGCCCACGGTTGATCAGGTAAGCTACAGTGTTGATAGCTTTAGCCCATAGCAATTTGGGCAATCCGACATGTATCCTCATTCTTCTGGCACGTTCATTCAGAGTTTTGTTCATGCACTCTGCTACGCCATTCTGCTACGGTGTCATGGGAATTGTTATCTCCATCTTGATCCCATTGTTTGCACAGAAATCTCTGAATCTGCTATTTCTGTACTCTCCTCCATTATCATATCTCAACCGCTTGACTTTCAGACCACTCTCATTTTCCACCATGACCCTCCATTTTCTGAAGGTATCAAAGACTTCTGATTTCTTCTTCAGAAAATAAACCCATACATTCATTGTAGAATCATCGATGAAGGTGACATAATATAGTGAGCATGCAAAAGATGAATCTGGAGATGGTTCCCATACATCAGTATGAACCAACCCTAACTTTTCAGCTTTGGGTGTCTTGCCAATCTTTGCAAAACTGACTTTCTTTTGTTTGCCAAAAATGTAATCCTCGCATAGTCCGATATATACACTCTTTAGATCCGGCAACTTCCCTTTTGACAAAAGTGTCTTCATCTATTTCTCGCTCATATGGCCAAGCCTTTGGTTCTATATGTTTGATTTTCCATCAGCATCTGCTACTGTAATGATATTCTCTAAATTTGAGGTTACATAGAGAGTATCAGTCTTCTTACCACGAGCAATGACAAGTGCTCATTTGGTAATCTTCCATTCACAACCTGAAAAGGTTTTACTATAACCTTCTCCATCAAGTTATCCAAAAAAAATCAAATTTCTTTTGAGGCCAGAAATATGTCTCACTTCTTTCAGCGTCCAGGTGGTCTAGTTTGACAGCTTTAATCAGATGTCTCATTTTCCGACGATCTTCAAGGTTTCATCATCAGCTAGATGAACCTTCCCAAAATCACCACTGACATAGTTCTCCATGATTTCTTGGCATGGGGTAGAGTGGAGAGATGCCCCTGAATCCAAGATCCATGATTCAATCGGACTGTTGACGCTTAGAATCATGGCATCACATGTCTCCTCTGTCATATTGGCAGATTCCTGTGCATCGGTATCTTTCTTCAGTGCTCGACAGTCTCTTTTAAAGTGACCGTTCTTGCCACAATTATAATAGGTAAAATATTTCTTTCCCGTTCTTGATTTTCCCCTTCTGGATTTCGATCTGTCACGATTTGAATTTCTTTCTGAAGTTCTCCCTCTGGACTCCATGTGCAAGGCTGAAGAGCTTGATGCTTCATCAATTCTCTCCGTAGAATTTCTTCACTCAATATCAAATCCCGAACATCATCAAATTTCAATTTGCTGTTTCCCGACGAGCTGCTGACTGCTGTAACAGTAGCATTCCAACTGTCTGGTAGAGATGATAAGAGAATTAAAGCTCGAACTTCATCATCGAATTCAATTTCCACGAAACTCAATTGGGTTGTGATTGTATTGAGTTCATTTAGGTGTTGAGCCACTGATGCTCCTTCTGCCATCCCTAAATTAAATAATCGCCTCATCAAGTGAACTTTGTTTGAGGCTGATGGCTTCTCATACATACTGGAGAAAGCCGCCATAAGACCCGCTGTGGTATTTTCCTTTGCTATGTTGAAAGCAACATTGCGGGATAACGTCAGTTGGATAACTCCGAGGGCTTGTCTGTCGAGAAGAGCCCAGTCTTCATGCCCTCTGGTTGCTTTCCTGAGAGAGGTTGATATAGATTTTTCTGGTACAGAAAATCTTCAATCTGCATCTTCCAAAAGCCAAATTCCACACCATCGAACTTTTCAATTTATCACATTCCCTTCGTCTGCAGCCATTGCTCTCACTCGAATCTGGCTTCGTTTGGATCGTTTCTGACAATTCTTGCGAACCACCGTGTATTATAACACCTCCATCGACAAATTCGTATCACCGACAAAATTTTTATCATTCACAAAATTCACTATTCATGTAAATAGTAATGAATAGTAATCTCACAAAAAATTGACAAAATTCACAACCAAAAGCTTTGATTACCAGTTGTTGGGAAATAAACCGAGTATGAGTAATTTCCCTATAACCAGATTAGTGAGAATGCGAAATAAAAGTGGAAAAATAATACCCGAAATTGATAACGGATTTCAGCCAATTATGCCTACGTCTCCGGACGTCTACGGAGTTCAAGAACATTTTACGCCTTTGTACTTTTATCTAAGTATGTAGTAGTTTTTTTATCTGACTTAACAAGAAATGCTCTTTCTAATGGCAGACATAAGAAATCAGGTAATGAGCAATATTGACTGAACTTAGCAAATGGGTTTTCCATGAACGTGGTCATCTTAAGGTAGGCATATTGATCAACATTGTCAGTGTATAAATATAATTCTTATATTAAAACTTAATTTTCTGGCATCTTCTTCCTTTTCTCTTTCATGTGCATGTTAAAAGTCAGGAAAGTCATGTTTTTTCGGTGATTAAATGCACCGAATTTGGTGGCTGTGTATTGTTGATTTTTGGCTTGGGATAATTACTTTTTAGTCCTTACACACTTTAGGATATTTACAAGATTAGTCCTCAAGCTTTAACTATAAATACTCTAACCCATTTAGCTTCAAAATCATCCCCAAAATTATTTCTTTCTCCATATACTAGAGAGCTTTCTTGTGAGTAGTGAGTGTTTTGTAAACACCTGTAAATTTTCTCTCTTTAGTAAAAGATCTGCAGTAGTCCGAAGACGTAGGCAAAATTGGCTGAACTCCGTTATCAATTTCGGGTATTATTTTTATGCTTTTATTTCACATTCTCACTAATCTGATTATAGGGAAATTACTCGTTACTCGTTTATTTCCCAACAACTGGTATCATGAGCTTTTGGTTGTAAATTTTGTCATTTTTTTTTGCGAGATTACTATTTATGTGAATAGTGAATTTCGTGAATAGTAAAATTTTGTTGGCGTTACGAGTTTGTCGACGGAGGTATTATAATACACGGTGATTCGCAGAAATTGTCAAAAACGATCCAAACGAAGCTAGATTCGAGTGGGAGCGATGGCTGCAGACGAAGGGAATGTGAAAATTGAGAAGTTGGATGGTGCACTCAAGACCTTCTTGGAAGGACTTAGACTAGGGGCAATGCTCGGGAGAGAGCAGGGTGATGCCTAGAGACTTTCGGAGGCCATAGCTGTAGCCGGAAAGCTGACTGAGCTTGCAGGTGTCTAGCCAACTAGCGATGTGTCATCCAGGCCCATTCCCAGATATAGTGGCAATAATGGGGGAGACCGGGAAAATGTACAGCAGGGAGATGGTAGAGAAAGCTCTTCGAATGGCAAAGGTGAGCCATCGACTGTTCGTAGCCAAGGAATTCCATCGGGAAAGAATGGCAAGGCTAAGTTCAGTGTAAAGAATAAGGGTAGCAAGGAAAAATTGAAGTGTTACTTCTGTGATAGTCCTCATTTGATTAGAGGATGTCCCGAGAAGCGTCGCCTTACAACCATCATGAAGATGATGGGAGAAGGAAAAGTAGCAATAATTGGTGTGGTTGCACGTGTTAAAGCTACCAAGCCAGGGAAAAGACTTGGTCCAATTGAGGGGATCATTGCATCCAAGCAAGGTACAACACGAGGCAAGGCTGTTGAGGCTGTCGAACCCAGAAGGAAGACCGATGCGATTACAAGTGTCCAAGCAATCAATTCAGGAGAAAGACTTGCTGAGACTACATGTTCCAGAGTAGCCGAATCAAGGGGCAGGCATGGTGCGACTACAAGTTCTCAAGTAGTCAGCTCAGGATCAAAACGTGACGAGACTGCAGGTGTCAAAGCAGTCGAGCACAAGAAGGGACCCGATGCAATAGCAAGAGATAAAGCCATCAAGCTGAGGGTGCAAAGTGAGCAAGTCTGCTAATAGTATGCCAGGATGGAGGCGTGGTCCAAGTTAATGCGTCTCAAGCATAAAGAGACACTTAAGGAGTATGTGAGCATATCCAGAAGGCTCATGCTCAAAGTCCCAAGTTTGACAGAAGAAGATGGGTTTTTCACCTTCATGTTCGGATTGAAGCAATGGGCGAAGAAAGTGTTAGAGCGAAGGGAAGTCAAGGAATTGTCTAAAGCCTTGAAAACCGCTGAGTCTATCAAAGAATTTGGAGTCAAGAAGAACAAGAATTCCAAAGCAAAGCCGAAATCCGAGGGTAGCGCCAAAAGAATCCGTGATGAAGGCAAGTCAGAGGATGAGAAATGTTGTTCCTCGAGTGGCAGAGAAAATGCACTCAATGATGAACCAGATGGTAAGTCTGGGGAAAATATGTGTAGTCTTGGCACAAGTTCGAGTGTCAAAGATGCTAAACCGAGGGTAAGATTCGAGAAAACGAGGGGGCGTAGACTTAAGATGCCAGAAGTGTTGCAAAATTACCCGATGGGAGCCTAGTCATCCAAGGTGATAGATGAGCCCAAGATCGAGTTGTCCAGAGAAGAGGACGAACTCAGGACCGAAGAGGCGTTGAGAGTTGGCTCAATAAGTTTCATTTCTGCCAAGGCGAGTAGAAGCCAAGTGCAAGAAGAGTTGTCAATGTCCAAGGAGTTTGCCGAGCATGTTCGTGTAGAGAACATGGCTTCAGAGACCATCTTAAGAGAAGGGTCGAAGCAGGGGCATGCCGAGGATGTTCAAGTGAGGAACAATCCTTCAAAGACTAGTGGACAAGAGTCGAAGGGAGCCAAGACGTTGAGGGACAAGGCAACCACGAAGAAACTGCCCAATAACAAGTGGGTTTACAGGGCGGTGACTACAGACAAACTAAAGTTGTGTTCAGCTTCAGTTGGCATGCTAGAATAACAAGAACATAAATATTACTGCATTGATCGAAGTGTGAAGACAAATTAAAATCAGTCTTCAAGTGGGAGATTGTTAAAAGTCAGGAAAGCCATGCTAAAAGTCAGGAAAGTCATGTTGTTTTTCGGTGATTAAATGCACCGAATTCGGTGGCTGTGTATTGTTGATTTTTGGCTTGGGATAATTGCTTTTTAGTCCTTGCACACTTTAGGATATTTACAAGATTAGTCCTCAAGCTTCAACTATAAATACCCTAACCCGTTTAGCTTCAAAATCATCCCAAAAATCATTTCTTTCTCCCTATACTAGAAAGCTTTCTTGTGAGTAGTGAGTGTTCTGTAAACACCTGTCAATTTTTCCTCTTTAGTAAAAGATCTGCAGCAGTCCGGAGACGTAGACATAATTGGCTGAACTCCGTTATCAATTTCGGGTATTATTTTTCCGCTTTTATTTCACATTCTCACTAATATGGTTATAGGGAAATTACTCGTTACTCGTTTATTTCCTAACAGTGCATGTATGGTGCTGATTTAACTCATGTTTTGATCTTTAGGCTGTTAATGTAAAACACCACAAAGTTGGAGAAACAGATGAACCTGCTTTGTACAGGATTAATGATGACTCGGTAATTCATGCACCTTGTACATTTTTTAATGCAAATACCATTTTGCAGAAATTTAACTGAAAAGAAATGGTTGTTTTTCATGAAGGTGTAGTCTGTTGAGATTTATGAGTGGTCTGGATCAAGCTGGGAGCCATATGTTGCTGATAATGTCCAAGTCCAGTTTTATATGATGAGCCTCTATGCTTTGAAAACTTATGTGAATAATTCGGATTTAAGTGTACAACATGAGTAATTTAAGAAAATGAAAAGAATTGGCAAATGAGTTATTTAAGCAAGATAACATCATCATTGGCAGCACCACCATAATTAATGTAGATTCCTAGAGTGGTGTACTAACTTATGGGTTTTTGATGCAGATGGCAGGATTCTTCATCTTTTCTTTTGTCCATCTATGCAACAAGTAGACTTGTAAGCATCCATCCCTACCATGCTTTTGCCTTGGACTCTTGAATTACAAATTTTGTAGCCGTTCAATCGCTGCCATCGGTGTTTTCGTAGAATGATGTAGACTTTGAGTTTTAGTTTCAGTGATTAAAATCAAATCCTCCAACAATCACAAAAACAAAATGTATTTGATGCAATATGTGTTGAGTGGTTAGTCTTTTAGAGCAAATGCCTTCTCACTCAGTTTGGTAGGGTTTCCTCTATCCTCTCCTTCACTCAGTTATTATCATCTACCAAGATTTTGAATATGAAAAAGGAACAGGCATCGAAGATTGGAACACAATATTGTCTACATCTTGAGTTGGTTATGAAATGCATTTTGTTCTTATGGTTGGAATGCTTAATACGTTTAAACACGTCTGTTTATATATTACAATAGCAATTATACTAACCAAACTAAGATTTATCGCCGATAATTAAAGAATTGACATTTCTATTAATTAGCAGACTATTTCAAATCTATATTAATTTCTTTAGAAAAAAATTAAAATGTAATTATTTATTACATTACTACTTGAACTTGGATCATTTAGTGGAGCAAGTCCCCTTTGATCACTTGAACAATGCATCAATATTTATATAAAACATATTTCTTATTATAACACTTGAATTTAAGAAACTTAGAAAAATAAAACTCAAGAGAGACACCCCAACAGCAAATCACAAACACAAACGGTAACAAAACAAAAGGAATAACCAAATCATCATTCAGCGGGAGAAATCATATTTCCCTTTCCCCCACGCACATCTAGCAAGTGAGATCTTTCCCCAAGTTGCACTTCACGGGAAGTTCCTTAGCTCGATTGAAATCGACTCCGTAATCCGTCATCCACTTGGAATTCTTGAAGAAACAAAGGCATGTGAGGTCGGCACCGTTCAAAGCCATGCAGCACGGGGCCGAAGGCGGCGGAGGGTTCGGATTCACGGCGGTCACGCTCGGCTGGCATGCCTGGAAACCCTCTTTGCTCATACCACAAACTTTCTGACCACTTGCCACTCTGGGTCCCGACCCAAGGGCTAAACCTACTACCACCATTGTCACAACCATAAGCTTAGCATATCCCTCCATATCTTTTGATCCCCAAATAAACACACTTGTTCTAATTGCTTGGGAATGGCTTTGAGACAGAGAAAGGGCTGGACATGACTTTATACACAGAGAGGCTTGAGAGAGTTGGCTTTGGCAAATTAAACAATAGCACACCGTTTTCTAAAGAGACAGCTTCGTATTTCGTGATGAATTAAATATGAACACGGTTAGAATTATACATGTTGATATGTGCGTGGATGATCAGTGTTGTTTTTTCAGTGTTAGAATCAAATTATAATAAATACGAAATCAAACCTAAAATTTAATCATTTCAAATCATCAAGAATATAATATCAAATCCACAGAAGTGTACATGAATCAATTGTTAGAGATCACATAGAAGGTTGAGATATTCTAAGAAGATAAGTTTCTCTTGAGTATAAACTCTCTGACGTAATAAGAGAAAATACAAGTTACACATTTCTTGACTATATACTGAATATTAGGTCATTCTTTTAAATATTTATAAATAGAACTTAATCTATATTTTATTTCTATGACACTTTGATATGTATGACACATATAATATAATTTATCACTTGATTTATGTCATATTTATAATAACATCATACATTATACGTATATATGCCTATAATTACAGATGTTAATTCTACATTGAGCTATATATTCTTGTGGGATAATAAATGATAACTCTTTGGGATTGATTATTCAGGGAAGAGGAAGAACATGGTATAAGGTTGTCGTGACATGTTATCACGGGCAAACATTGGAGGAGAATTTGGACTTTGGCTTCGGAATTTTTAATTAATCAACTTTCATAAGGTAGAGCATTGCATGTGCTTCCAAACACCAACCCTTTAACAATGCTCAAATTTGGCTTTTTGGTGCGTCTACTAAACTCCACTCACGGGACACACTTTGATGTTTGAGTTCATAATTATTTTTTAAGAAAAAACCCAAGGATGATGATAGGTGTTGATACCATGTATCTAAATTGCAGTTACGATTGCATTTTTTGGTTACGTTGCATTCATCGTGATCACGAATATAGCAGATGTTATCGTGGTCATTACAGGTTTTACGATCATACAATAATGATTTCAGGCGGCACTACTACTGCTATATAGTGGTTGCTATTTCGATAGTGGACAGTTACTTAAATCCCTGATTGCTATCACCTTTGGTTTTCGTTAGGGGTGACATAAGATTTTATATTAGAGGGGACAAATTTATAATTTTTTTAGAGAAATAAACTTATAAAATTTAAATAAAAAAATAGATTATTAATAGTAAATACAAAGAAAATTTCAAGATATATGAAAATTTAAAAATTTTAAAAATCGATTATTACAATTCTACCCTTGAGTCAAGATAGATCAAAACCATTTTTTTAAGTAAAGGAGTTGGTGGTGTATGTTAATAAAAGAGGGAAACCATATAGGGCCTTAAATATGATGATGGAAACCAGATAGGGCCTTAAATATGATGTTTATAGCCCTTTTTTATGAGCATGAAAAGCCCTTACAACTTAGGATTTACCCTTGGTCCCTATAGTCTAAATTTGATTTAATACTTTTATTTTAAATTAATTATGTGTTTATTTCTTGATGGAATCATTTAGGTAATGTTTAAGCTTTACATAAGAAGAATTTTTAGTATACATTTTCGGCCTTAAGTTCTAAAGAAATGTTCCACTTTTGACAAAAGTAGTATCTGTTCTAGATATATTTTTAACTATTTAATAATGAACGTTTAATTATCCTTACTGTAGTCGTTGATGCTCGAACTCATGACTTTACAGAGCAATGAAAGCAAATTGGAAATTAGGTACTCATCATTATCTACTAATCTAATCATTAGGGTTTAGGTTAAAACACGTGCAAAAATCGTGTCAGATTACTCATTTAGATGTATTCGTAAATCAAATTTCATTTAGATAAATGTTGAGGAAACTTTTTTAGGCATTAGTATCCTTTAAGATTAGATTTAAACAAAACAAAAGAGTCACGTGTCATGAGATGAAAAGCAAAGCAACAGAAGCCGGGGGAGCGTTACGGAGCACGTGACGACAGTTATCTGTGTCTTCTTTGAGGTGGCGTGGAAACAAATTTGAAATCTCTTAATGGCGGCAACCACTGTACTTGTGCCACCTGTCCCATTCATCCACGTGTCATTTCGAGAACCGGCTTACACAAAATTGTTGGCCGAATCTCACGCACTTCCTCTAACGACATGTACATTTTGTTTATTAAAATTCACGAAACTGACACCCCTTATTTTCTTTTTCTCTTTTTTTTTTCAATTTTTAAAAAGAGCGAGAGAAAATCAATTTGGTATTCTTGGAAAGCAAGTTTGTATTCATATATATATATATATATATACAGGTTGCTATTAACCCATTCGGTTTTGAGTCTTACCAACCAAATTCTCAAGTTTCTTTGATTAGCAAATTTTGCTGCTTTTGCCTACCAAAAGGAACAAATAAGGTAAACATTTTCCATTTTTTTAATGAATTTCATTCGGATCAAACTTTAGATTTAGATTTTAATGCAAGTTGAGTGATAAAATATTTACTGCATTCGAGATACTTATGATTATCGATAAAAACAAGTGTTGTTCTTCTTATAAGTTTCAGGTTTGAGAGACGTTTAGAAAGTATATATGTGTTCATTGTCGATAGACTGATAAAATTTTGAAAATATAGTACCTTGTAATCACTCGTACTAATAAAAATGATTATTTTTTTTAGTCTATGATTTTTTTACCATAATTTTGGTTTTCACAAATCTTGTTTTTCAAATATATACTATGTTGAATCTCAACTGTTTGTTTATTATGCAAGTGTTCCATTCTTATTAACTTGTATAGAAAATAAAATCTAAATTTAAATTTATATAAACTTAAGTGAAAGTTTAAATTAATTTTCAGGAGTAACCATGTAGAATATGTCAATATAAAAGTCAGCCTTCATTTAAGTCATTGATAATGAAAAGCGATTGCCTGAAAATATATATCATTCACTTGAATTCGACTCAATTTGAAAATTATATATCATCTGTCTGATCTGAAAATATATCTTCCATCCAACTTTGATTTGACCCGAATTTTTAGAATATAATTTCGACCAGACCTAATCCAATTCGATATAAAGGACTCGGGTTGAATCGGGTCAGAGTTTTTTCACCCCTTTAAAAATTCGATTTGACGCAAACCATATTTTTTTATAAGAAAATTCTGATTCTATTAAATAAGATAAGATTGAAACCGTCGGATTCGGGTTAAATTTCCATTCCTAACCACGACTAATAATATATTATGAGCTCTATGGCAGTTTCAACCGGATTTTTTTCGTAGGAAATACTATTGCTCGTTGTCGAGCTTTTGCGTGGCGAAAAGTCATCAGAAGTTTTCAATGAAAACAGAGTTATTATAGCCTTTTAACCAAAAATTTGTATGTATTTTCTAAAGAAAAGGACTTGAACTTTCCCTCTTCCCAAACACACCTCAACCTCTTGCTTTGTATTGTGGGCTTTTAGGCAATGCAAAGCTCATCACTTTTCTTTGCTGACAGTTGCTTTGCGCAATGAAACAGTGAAGATAAAGGATGAAGGTTTTTAGAGATAGAAAGAGAAAATGGAAATACATTGCTTCCCGCGTTTTCCATGCCCCTCAGTTCCCATTTCTCATGCGTGCAAGCCATTCTCAAATCTCTTTTAAAGCCAAAAAAAAGAAAAGCAACAACAACTTGCCTAAAGCTTTGATTTTCTTTTAATTTAATTGTCTTGGTTCATTAACGGTTCTAAGTTTGTTTTTAAGCTTCCATTCACCTTTCTAATCGCTTTTTGTTGTATCCTTTCTTTGTTTGAAAGATAACCCATCGAAACTTGTCTCCCTCATTTTCTTCCCATCGTTTCTATTCTGATAAAGAATCGAAATTCTCAATACACTTTTATCAATAGTCTTGTTTTCCATCTTTTTTTCCCGAAAAAAAATTCTCTTTTCTGGGTATATTTTCAGAATCGAAAAGTGTTCATTTTCTTGGTGGGACGGTAAAGTTTGGAAAAGTAAGCCCTTTGTTTCATATTTCACCTCATCTGTTCAAGCTCTGGGATCTGATAATCGTTTGTTCTTTGCTTTGATCTTATCTGATAGACCCATGGGAAATCATGGAAGCAAGAGAACATCAGAAACACCGTCATCGTCATCTATCACTCTTAGCAGCAATTTGCAGTACACAACTGAACTGAGTTCCTATGAAGCTGCTTGCAAGCTAGACAAGGAGTTGCAGACATTCGACACCAATGTCCAAGCTCGAACGAATCATGTCATCAACACACTAGCAATGGGCGTCGAAGCTCGAGCCGTTTCATTCGATTCGCTCAGAGAGGTAACCGGTTGTCTTTTGGAGATGAACCAAGAGGTGGTTAGAGTTATCTTGGAGTGCAAGAAAGATATATGGAAGAACCAAGAATTGTTTGAGCTCGTCGAGGAGTACTTCGAGAACAGCCTGCAAACACTTGATTTTTGCTCTGCATTAGAGAAATGCCTGAAGCGAGCCCGAGACAGCCAATTGCTGATATTAATGGCTCTGCAACAATTCGAGGAAGAAAGCGAGGTCGGCGGGAGCAAATACGTGAGGACGTTGGAAGAACTGAGGAATTTCAAGGCAGGAGGGGACCCTTTCACCGAGGAGTTCTTTCAGATATTTCAATCTGTTTACAGGCAGCAAATAGCAATGCTGGAGAAATTGCAGCAGAGGAAGAACAAGCTAGACAAGAAGCTTAAGTACATTCAGGCATGGCGTAAGGTATCGAGTATGATATTTGTCGCTACATTTGCTGCCGTGCTGATTTGTTCAGCCGTGGCGGCTGCAATGGCGGCACCACCGGTTGCCGCCGCACTCGCTGCTGCAACATCGATCCCCTTAGGTTCTATGGGGAAATGGATTGATTCTCTGTGGAGAAACTATGAAAATGCACTGAAAGGACAAAAGGAAGTGATTACCTCAATGCAAGCAGGCACATATGTGGCTATTAAAGACTTGGATAACATCCGGGTTCTTGTCGATCGTTTGGAGATCGAAATCGAAGCTCTGTTACAGAACGCGGATTTCGCAATAGAGCAAGAAGATGTGAAGATTGGGATAGATGAGATCAAAAAGAAGCTTGGGGTGTTTATGAAGAATGTGGAGGATTTGGGGCAACAAGCCGATATTTGTAGCCGGGATATCAGGAGAGCAAGGACTGTTGTTCTTCAAAGGATCATAAAACATGGCAACAACTGAAATCATTTGATTCCTGGGAATTTGACCTACTTCAAGTTGATGCTGACAATGTTGACAAGAAGAAAAAAAAATGATGATATTTGATTAATTTACAACATCTTGTTTTGGGACACTACATGTTTGCTTCTTAAGGTTATTGTTCTGTTGAAGATTATGGTATTTATTTTATTCCTTTTTCATGTATTTTTTAGGACCACAGATGTTATTTTCTATTTGGCAAATGTTTCATTGATTGTATGTGAATGATTATTGATTAATATTTTCATCACTCTAAATTCTAAATTGAATTTCAGATAGTCAGATCATCAGATCAATGAGCTTGGAAAGAATCTGCCCACTTTCTTTATCTTCTTCAGGCGTACAAGTAGCTTTAGGAGTTTTCTTTGAAGATGCATAGGAACAAAAGGCCTTATTATCTTTATCTTTATCTTCTTCAGGCGTACAAGTAACTTTAGGAGTTTTCTTTGAAGATGCATAGGAACAAAAGGCCTTACCATTTGCCCAACTATGTTGCATTTCATTAAGAGATTATACAGTTAAACCCTAACATTATACTTATAGTACATTGATATCTGAATGTAGCATGTCCCGGAGATTTTAATGGGATAGATTCCCCGTCATGACTCTCTTCTAGTGTAGTATAATCACGGGGCACAGGCCCCAACATTCGGGTGATGTTGCTGCCATAAAGAATGAAGTTTCCCGGCAAGCACTTCTCGTTGCTTCTTATGATGAATAGCTATCAAGTTTGCATGATAAAAGGAATTGGAAGAAACACTAGGCTTGAACGCAGGTTTTGACAAAGCTGAAGATTGGTACCGGTCGGATGTTGAAATAAGTGGCAGAAACCATATAGGAACAAGATAAGGGTACAAAAACCTTGAAACAAATGGTTGAGAAAAAGGTTAAAAATGTGCATCCACTGGTCAAGATGAGCACCAGCATAACGTTTACGAGGAACTTGAATGTAGATAGGTTCGCTTCTGTTCCATGCGGAGGGAAATAACCTTCAGACATGAAATTAGAAAGCAATTGATCTTTAAGTTGGAACGTATTCGTTAACCAAGCAGTTGCTTCTCTTTCAGACATCGGGATGTCATCTAGGGTAATGCGTCTGATGTGAATATGAACTTCGGAAGGGTCAACCCAAAGACATTATCCAGGAAGGATGGACCACGATGCTTATATCCAATGGTCACATCATAAACTGCAAGCAAGCAAACAAATAAATCATAACAGGTCTCTTATGCTAATATTGACTCTATCTCATGACAATAAAACTTATTGGTTACTCGAGGGGGAAAACAGAAAATGTTACATATTTGTCCCCAATGTAAAAGCTTGCTCTGCAACTACCTACCACAATATGAGCTAAAAGGGTCCTATTATAAATATCCTTCCATCAAGGATATATCAATGTATAGAAGGTTAAGAGACAAATCCACAGGAAACCAATAGAAGGGCATAAAGAAGATAAATAACCTGCATCCAGAGTGCTCCTCAAATCTTCCAAGCAAGCATGAAAACCCTTTGATTTAGAAAGCAGCAAATTCTTTGGGATGGGCAAACCATTTTCAGCAGCATATTTTTGGCTTCTTAAGCACTTCTGATCACTGCAAGAAAAAGAATAATTCATGGATTAGTGCACTGCATATGCATCGACAAAGAACTGTTGCGGAAGAAGGTTATCGGATAGAGCAAAATCGCAACTGATAATTTGAGAAAATAAAAATGAAGATAAAAGAGACACAAAATTTACGTGGAAAACCCCTAAAAATTTAGGGTAAAAACCACGGGCAACGGTAGAAGAATTTCACTATGAGAAAATAGGAATTACAACCTCTCTCGATCTAACAAGGAGAAAACAATGATAATTCTCTCTAGATAAAAAGGAGAAAACAACTCTCAAGAAACTCTCTAAAATCTCTCTAGTATTGGAAGAAAGCTAGAATGCTTTGAGATGGTTTTGAAGCTAAATGAGCTAGGGTATTTATAGTTGAAACTTAAAGACTAATCTTATAAATACCCTAAAGTTTAGTGACTAAAGTTTATAATTTACCCATTTAATTTTGACATTGTTGCACCTAATTTTGACATTGCAATATTAGGTGCCTAACTTGAACCAATTTTCCAAGCTTTGACATTTCAACAATCTCCCACTTGAAGATTTGATTGGAACAATCATATCTTCACACCATTCTTTCTACCTTGTACCATCATGTTGCTTACGTCTCTGACAGGCCACAAGAGGATCGACACCAGGTAAATTTATCAGCGTTGATCGCCTTCGTCATGAAATCTGCTATGTTGTCTTTGGTATGGATCTTCTGTATATCTACCGTTTCTTCTTCCACCTTTTCACGAATGAAATGGTACTGAACTCGTATGTGCTTAGTCCTTGAATGAAATGCTGGATTCCTTGCTAGATGCAATGCGCTTTGACTGTCACAAAACAGAGAGACATACTCTTGATTGTGCCCAAGCTCCTCCAATAGCATCTTTAACCAAATTACTTCTTTACTGGCTTGTGTAGCTGCTACATATTCTACCTCTGTTGTGGACGTAGCCACAACTGACTGCAATTTTGAAACCCAGATTACAGCTCCACCAGCAACTTTGAACACATATCCTGTAGTAGATTTGCTTTTATCCAAATCCCCTGCATAGTCAGAATCTACATACCCATTAATTAGTAAGTTTGATCCTCCGTAACATAATGCAACATTTGAGGTCCCTTTGATGTATCTTAGGATCCTCTTTACTGTATTCCAATGCTCTTTGCCTGGATTCGCCATGTACCGACTAACCACTCCCACTGCTTGTGCAATGTCTGGTCTTGTGCATATCATAGCGAACATTAAACATCCCACTGCTGATGCATACAGTACTCGAGACATCTCCATCCTCTCTTCTTCACTGCTAGGACTCATACTGGAGGATAATTTGAAGTTAATAGGAAGAGGGGTAGAAATTGGCTTACAATCTTGCATGTTGAATCGTGACAAGATCTTCTTCAAGTAATTCTTTTGTGAAAGCCAAATCTTCCTATTACTTCTGTCTCGGTGAATTTGCATCCCTAGAATCTTGTTTGTTGATCCCAAGTCCTTCATTTCAAATTCCCTAGCCAGTTGTGCCTTCAATTCTTCAATATGATCTTTGTTGGGTACTGCAACCAACATGTCATCCACTTACAACAACAATATAACAAAATCATTATCACCAGACCTCTTGAAATAAGCACAAGGGTCTGCATTAAGTCTGTTGTATCCAAGGCACATAATGAAGGAATCAAATCTCTTATACCAATACCTCAGCGCCTGTTTTATACCGTACAGAGATTTGTTCAACCTGCAAACCAAGTTCTTCTTTTTGTCTTCTTCAAAACCTTCAGGCTGGAGCATATAAATCTCTTCTTCAAGATTTCCATGAAGAAAAGCTGTTTTAACATCTAGCTGTTCCATATGTAAATTCAATGTAGCACACATTGCCAAGACTACTCGAACTGTTGTTAGTCGAACCATAGGAGAAAATATTTCATTGAAATCAATACCTTCTTTCTGAGCATATCCTTTGACCACCAGTCTTGCACGATACCTCTCCACTTGATCGTCACCATTTCGCTTGATTTTGAAAACCCATTTGTTACCAATTGGCTTCCTTCTTTGTGGTAGTGGCACAAGGTCCCATGTATTATTTTTATGAAGGGCTTCGATTTCTTCTTGCATCGCCATCATCCATAGTGAAGCATCTGAGCTGTTTATTACCTCCTGGTATGTTGATGGATCACCGTCCTCTGTTAAAAGGCAATATGCAATATTACCTTCTATAACATAATCTGAGTGCCAATTGGGACGTCTTCTCACACGATCTGATTGATGAGTTGTTGGATCTTCAAAACTCTCTGGTTCTTGTTCATCATGTGCTGGTTCTGCTTCAGAAGAATCTCCTTCTTCAAACTCTTTTTCCACATGTATCTGAGTAGTCTCTGACTTTTCAGCACTATCATCGTCTTCTTTTCTTTGTAGTTTATCTTCTACAAAGATAACATCCCTGCTAATGATCACTTTGCGGGCAGTGGGATCCCACAAGCGATACCCCTTTACTCCATCAGCATACCCCAAGAATTTGCATTTTCTGGATTTTGGATCCAGCTTTGAAATTTCTTGGGCGTTGTACATCACGTACACAATACTTCCAAATACATGGAGGTTTGAATAATCAATTGGTTTAACAGTCCACATCTCCATTGGTGTCTTCAGCTCTATTGCAGTTGATGGAGCTCAATTCACCAAATAACAGGCGGTATTGACTGCTTCTGCCCAGAATGATTTTTCTAGGCATGCGTCCCTCAACATTGCTCTTGTTCTTTCTAACAAGGTTCTGTTCATCCGCTCTGCCACTCCATTTTGTTGAGGAGTGTTCGCCACTGTGAACTGTCTTTTGATGCCTTCTTTCCTACAAAAGTCATCAAATTCTTCGCTTGTGTATTCTCCTCCATTATCTGTTCTGAAACACTTGATCTTATTTCCAGAATCAAGTTCCACCCGCGCTTTGAAGTTTTTGAAAGTTGAAAACACGTCTGACTTCTTCTTAATAGGGTGCACCCAACATCTCCTGGAGTAGTCATCAATAAATGAGACAAAGTATTTTGCTCCACCTAGGGACGTTACTGGTGCTTGCCATACGTCAGAGTGAACCAATTCTAGAACACTTTTGCCTTTATAATTTGATGTGTTGAATTTCAACCGGTGCTGCTTACTTGTTATGCAATTCTCACACAAAGGAAGTGATACCTTTGTTAAGCCTGGAAGTAGCTTTTGCTCCACAAGGACTTTCATTCCTTGTTCTGACATGTGTCCAAGTTTCTTATGCCATAGCATTGCAGAATCTGAACTACATGAGGCAACAGAGGCTTCTGCTTCTAGCAATGTCTCTCCCTTCAGCATGTACAAGTTTGCAGCTATCTTTTCACCTTTCAGCACCACAAGCGCTCCACTGAACACCTTCATGATTCATTTCCGTGTTTCAATCTTGCTTGCATTATTATCCAACAATCCGTAGGATAATAAATTTTTATTTAGGCCTTTCACGTGCCGCACATCTCGAAAAACTTTAATTGTTCCGTCATACATATTCAATTTGATGGTTCCCACGCCAATGATCTCTAA